CCAAACGCGATTCAATTGCATTTCGCTGTTGTTTCATAGTGGGTCTGTCGCTTGGGCGAAAACTGTGGCCATAATGATGAATTGCATAAGCCGGAATCGTAATTACAATCACTGACTACGAGTACAGGCGACTAATATATGTACGTGTATCTTCCTCTCCCATGCCACACAGTTGTTGCTCATCCGCTTTTGGGCAAAATAATGCAAGCGCCAGTAGATCAGGCTTTCCAGTGCACTCACTCTAGCTCTTACGAGGCGGTCTCTCTACACTTTTCTTCTTCAGGTGTATTTATTTGAGTTTAAATTTTAATAGGAAAAGGCATTAGATATTCATTCAATACTCTCCCTATCTCAAGTTACTCTCCACTAACACACCTCACCAGGAGCCGAAATACCGGGGGCCTCTCTCACTCTCTTCATTCAGGAGCCGCTCAAGCCTTGGGCTTATCAACCTACCGAACCACTACACGGCACAAACTCTACACAAAACATGACCATATATGGCGACAAACACTGCCACACACAACAAATGGCTATTTGCGGTCTCACAACAAAAATGCGATGATTACGTATCAAGCACATGGCCGACAACGGCTGCCCCTCCTTATTCGCACTCCCCACGATACAATTATTTCACTCCCTCCCCCGCCTCTCAAGGCAACAGTCAAAAAAAAAGAAGAAAAACTTTTCATTCATTCACTCGACGCCTGATTTGACGGCGGTCTTTACATGCTCCCATTTTACTCTAGGGAAGAGAAAGGGTATTGTCAACTGTGGCTTTGAGTTGGGTGTCTGGAAATCGGAATTTGATGGGATTATAATAGACAAAGAGATCTAGAAGGTGGTTTTATGACATACATAGATATCTAAGAGCATTCCGTATCTTTCCTAGAGTGGTCTCTATGTCTTTTCCCAATTCTAGAACTTTTTATCCATATTTAGCAAAGATATGCATTGCCTTGGAAGACCTTTTTAAGACCTTAATCCAAGTCATTCATAGAAGATTATTTGGAGAACACCTGCACTGAACTTTTAATCTCAATCAACACGATAAGGTCTAGTATGCTGGAATATGGGTTAAGTTTGATAGGCTTATCTTCCAGAGTCGTCTATAGTGCTTCACATGTACATATTCCCGTAAATGTTAGGGTACATCTATTTAGACTTTTACCCATTTGGATTTACTTTTCGTTCTTGTTTCCATTGATTGCTCAGTTTTTTGTGTGGCCTTGCTATAGTTTTTTTTTTGCAAATCTAATCCAGAAATGGGAAGCAGAAACACCAGAAATGGGAATGAATGAATGCTTGTGTGCTCCAATGGCATTTACATATGTACATGTGCTTTGCTATGCTATGTAGTTGACCTAATCGTAATTTGAGCAAACAAAGCACTTAAGCAAATGGAAATACATTCACATTGTATGCATGCGCCTATTCGTATAAATAACAATTGCGATAATATAAAATGTTTTACAATTCCCATAGGGGAAATTTAAATCAATTTCATTGTCTAGTTCAAGTTATTATAGAAACATCTGTTGAATTGCTTCATGTTTTGTGGGATTTACAAATTACGCCCCCATTTCAGTCTTTTGATTAAAATTGTATTATGCGATAAATTTAATTCGAATAAATAAGTGTTCAAGAATAAGTTCAAGTTAACTTCAAAAAACAACTGTGAATCTTTAAATAGACTTAAGCTACAATTCCTTATTTCATTTGAATTCTTTTATAATAAAAACATCTGTTCAAAGTTGACTTTTAAACCTTCAAAATTTAAACGATTGTAACTTTTTAGTTTTATTCTTGTATAAAAACATCTGGTAACTTTTGGGTTTTGAGGAATTTCGCGTTACCCAAAAATTTTAACTGTATATATTTGAATCCAATCCGGTATATTTTGCATCCAAGTTTGTCATAAAACCATCTGTTGTCTAAGATCGCAAAATTATGCTAAACTATCAACTGATATTGCACTTTTTTTTGTGGAATAAAATTACATCAAAAATGTTGAATTTTTTAAATTTTCAGCTCCTTTTATGCATTAAATTCCACCTCCATTTTTTGGGGAATTCAAAGCATGAACAAATTTCACTCTGTACTTAAAAATTCATGTGCCAGAAGCTTTGGGGCTGGTCCATCAATCAAGCGGAGATTAATAGCCGGCAATCAGGTCTACCATTTTGGGGGACAGACTCCCCCACATTTGGTAACCATCCGGACACTTTATCAATCATTAACCAAGCCAACCCAAATGGCCAACAACCATGTGATATGCAGAGGACGGACTGGAGGTTAATAATCCGAAAAAAACACCAATTGTACAGTAATTAGAAATTCATTGATAAAAATATACATAAGAATGGAAGAGATATGAGCTGATTGGGATACGAGTGGAGCGAAAGCCGAGTGAGTTAATCGAAAGGGCTCGGTGATGCCTGGATGCCAGGCCATTCCAGACCAGGGCTCTTTCACTCGAACCAATACACTTGCATGGGGGCGAGTGAGAAAAACGAGCGAATGAGCATGCTAATCACGAACACGACGAAACAAGCACAACAAAACGAAAAGAACGGTACACGTACATATACCGTACACTCGAATACAAACACACACAGAGAAGAAACTCGATTGGGGAACAACTGGACGGAGGCGGTGCTCTGCTCTCCTCTCTCTGCTGCTGCTGCCTGCTGTTTTGCTTGCTGCCCTTTGCTTGGCGCCTGTTCAAATAAGTTTCAAATTTTGACAAATAAAACCATGGTTTTGTAATTTACGAGCGTTATTTTCATAATGATTGAGTGGCATGGCCAGGCCGCCCAGTCAGGGTCGGGAGAGTTGAGTGGAGTTCACACGCGTCGCCGAGAAAAGGGAACGAGAGAGATGAGAACCAGACCAAAGGACCACTACACGACTACTGTGGTACTTTTATACCCTTGCAGAGGAGGGTACTATTCTTTCGGACTAGATGTTTTTAGGCAGAAGTAAGAATAATCCAAGGAAATGTTGCCAATTCCAGTTTAATATCGATCCTTCGAGCAGATCTCCAAAAAAACTTAAAATTTATACGAAATGCATTTGAAAGGGTATCAAATTCATCAAACCACCAAACCTTTCGTTCTTATTTATCCTTTGCTTCTTTTTCTCACTCAGCCGCAATAAAAACGGGATTATGTACGAGTATGTTGTATTTGTCTTGCGAGTATACAGAGAGATATGCGAAAGAGAGAGAAAGAGAGAGCAAAGTCGGGAGTAGGGAGCCCTTTTTGCTGCTGGTGTTGTTTGTTGTTGTTGGTAGGGGGTTGCTTCGGTTGCAGGCAGCAGGATGGAGAGAGGGGAAAAGTATGCAGAAGCCAGAGATGCGAAGAGGGGCGTAAAAAGGATGCAGGCTTCAGAATGAAGAGAATGAAGGGTGCAGCAGCAGCCTGTCGAATAGCGAGGCGTGCCGACGGCTGCACATTGAACGGAGAAGGGGTAACGGGGAACGTCTCCTAAAGAAGCTGCAACAACGACGGGACACTGTCTAGACGTTTGATTACCGGGGCGCAGCAGAGAGTCGCAAGCAGCAGACGTTGCCCCGCACAGTGTGCCCCAAGCTGCCATTTAATCTGTGCAATGGGGATGGGGTCTCGCCTCTAATCATAATTGCCCGATTTCTTATACCATTTTATTGGTTTTTTTCGGGCTGGGCTTGGACTTGCGAACGTCTCATAAAGTGTTCTCTTATCAGCTTTTACTTTCACATGCAGTGCACACGATGACGACATGGCGTGGTATATGGCAGATAATGGTATAAGTGTCAACACAGGCAGGCCAGACAATTGGGGAGGAAAATACTTTGTGGCATGGTTGAGTACTAAATGTGGCGACTATAGGGAATTCCTTGTTCAACCCGTTTTGGAACCTTTAAGGAATGGGAAACTCTTCAAAAATCTGGTTTGAAACAGGAAATCTCTTCTCACTCCGTTTAAGGATTGTTAGGATAATCTTTTTTCTGTTCTGTATTTTCAAGAAGTGTGGAATTATTAGATCAATCCGGTTTAAAGAAGAAAAGCCTATTAAGAAGCATTAGAAAATAAGAACAAATATATTTGAATATCGTTTTCAAGCACTTTGGCATTCTCTAATAATTACATATTTTACGAAAAATGCTCAAACCTCATTATTCAGCATCATGCTTCTTGGTTTCTCAACAAACTGTGATCTTTCCATCATTCAGGTTTTTGCAATTCCTAAGAAATAAAAATGCCTGGTTCAAGCCGGTTTCCAAAACAAAGTTCTGCCTAAAATCGCATTCCATTTCGCCACACACGATCAATTCTCAAGGTAATTCGATCAAGATCCCCGCCAGTCGCATAAACAGGAAAAAAAAAGGCACGTAATCTCGTTCGGGGTTGCTGGAAATCTCGGCCTTTTTCTACCTGACTTCATTCGACATTTCTTCCAATTTCGTCACAGTGCATTAATCAGCATTGTGTTACCCCATTGTTTCGCTATTTTTTCCAAACACAATCCAATCCCATAAGTAATGCCTGGTATTTCCTCATGGAAGTGCAGCTGATTATATGGGCCTTGGGAATTACTCAATTTTTGTGTGCAACACCAACCACTGTGCAGCATTTTCAGGAGCGCTGTCGCCAGTCAAGGACTCGGGATGTCGTCTGTGCACACTCAATTTTATATTTTTTTTTACACTCTTTCTGCTTTGCCAAAGGTCAAAACGGCGCAAATCAAAAACCCTGAATAGGAGCCTTGACTTTTGCACTTTGCCAAATGTTTTTGCCCGGAGGCCATTGAATAAACGAACGGAACAGGGCGGGAATATGGAAGAAGCTTCAAATGTATGGACTTTCGGATAGAAGGATGGGGTGTACGGATAAATTGAAGTTTCGATAGATGGAAAGGTCGTACGGTTGAAGGGATAGACGGACGTATGGGTGGAGAGACTAATAGCTGGAGGATAGGATAGGGCCCATAATTGAAAAACCATTGGAAAAACTCACCACAGAGCCCAAATGCTTCAAGTGTTTGGCTCCTCTCCGCCTCCCTTTTGTGCTCTGGTGGATAAAATAAATTGCGATGGGTGGAAGGGAGAGATACTCGAATGGAATTCCTGCGCTCTCTCTTGCTGATGTTTTGATTTGTTTTCCCGTTTTTGTTGTGGCTGTTTGTCCTCTCAGCTGCTTCTGATGCTGTCCTGCTCCAACTTCCCGCTGTTTGTAGCTGTTTTTTTTTTCGCAGCTTCTGCTTCCAGATTCTGCTTTTTCCTTAACCTCGCTGCTCCAGGGCTCTGCTCAGCTTCTGCGTTTTTCTTCTTTTCAGGTTCTCCTTCTGCACAGCTTCTCTTCGTCTTTATTGCCTGTTGTTGGTTGTTGCTTTACCCTATTGGTCTTCTCTGTGTTTTTATTGTTTTTGTGTAATACTTCTCTCGCTTTTGGCGCGCAATATTTTCGTGTCTCCCTCTCACACGCTGTTCTGCTTGTTGTTGCTGTTGTTGCAAATGCAATATTTTTCCAGCACACGCGAAACCGTTTTGTTTTCGTTGTTGTTGCAGTGATTGTTGTTTGTTGCTATTGCAATAATTTGCATTTCACGTTTCGCAGCATCGACGCCGACACGCACACACACAGAGAGACACAAAACAACAATCGGAGGAAGCTGTTGTTGTTGTTGGCGGGCGTCTTTTGCTTCCCCAAGATGCTGATGGTGGAGCTTGCGAATATTATTTTTGTTGATTTTTGTGACTTTTGATTTCTGTTGACGAAATCACAATTAAAACACGCAATATTTGAAACAATAAGAGAAATGTGTTTTTTTTTTGGCCACAACGATTTGCCCGCGTGTTTTCAAAATTGTCGTCCACCTGTCTTGTCTAAACGTAAACAATCGACTGTGTGCGCGTTTTAACGAGATTCGATTTTATTTGATAATATTGTAAATAGTTTTTTTTTTTGGCTCAAATAGCAATATAATTTGTGGCGTATCAACGGAATTTTCTGAAGTCAGAAAAAAATTCGAGACGGTAGCAGAGCTTGAGAAACACGAGATTTATATTCGTCTCCACAATATTTACATTCTGCTTTAAAATTTTTTACATCGCGACTGCACGCCAACAGAGAGAGACACAAAAAACAACAATGTTGATGTTGGCGGGCGTCCATTTCCATTTAGCAACATGTTTGTGTATGGAATGAGACTCATTGTTGCAAGAGCGAAACTGCGGCGAACTGCGGCGAATTCAAATTCGATTTAAAAAAAACGACCAATTCCTCATATTCTTTGTTCCGTCGACTATTACCAGCTAAATAGAACATTTAGACATGCCCTTTCAATTTAATACGATTGATGAATCAATTCTATACATGATTGGTCTATTCGAAATACTTGCATTTATTGGATTATAACATTGAAAAGGAAATTAATAGATTGATGAAATTGACAAAAATACCATTTAGCACTAAAAAACACCACATGGGAGCGCGGCGAAAACCAGTTTCTACAGTATGACCCTCAGAACAGCACTGAAATATACGGTCTCATTTGAAAAATATACCGAGTGGTGCGCGCCAAATCTAACTTTTTTGAATGTGAGCGACAAGGATTTAAATGTTGTCAACCGGGCCTTTATCTATATATTTATCATTAATCGTATTAAATTATGTGGGCATTTAATACGATTAATGAATCAATTTTCTACTTAACTGGCCAGTTTTTAGTCCATTCTTTTATTGTATTTTGACTAAACAAGGTTTAGGCAAAATAGTTCAACAAAAAAAAAGTTGCAATGTTGCTGGTATTTGAATTCATGATGCGTGTATATGCCTTTGTACACCCTATTTCATAAATTTTATATGAAGATGAAACGTAATTTATAAAGACCTTCTCTCAAATTGACATTCTTTAGACATATTCAAGTACATTATTAGTATCTTGTATATATTTATCTCGATCCTGATACCTACGGAGTCTGGTTATTAATATTTTAATTGTGTTAAGAAAAAAAAACAGGCGAAAAGCTTTTCTAGAAAGTTAAAAGATGCGAAAAGCAATCTTAACAGAGCATAAAAGCTTACAATCGAGCTTTTTTAACAGCAGCCAAAAAGCTATCTGCAAATGCTGCATGTTAATGTTAAAATGTCTACAATCATTTTTCATTTGGGCGCTCGCTCTCTTGCCCAGCTGTCGGGTCGTAGTAACTTGGCTTTCAGAGTGGTTTCTTGAAGCAGATTGAAAGACAAACAATTTTCGACTTGTTGTTAGCGGATGCGTGGCGCCCAAACAATAACATCCAGTGACTATAAATGGAATAAGTTGTGTGCTGAAAAATATCTGCCGGAATGCCCCTGAAGAAGAACCTGTAATACTCAATCGAATTCGAGTTCCTTAACCTTCGAATTGATTCATTTGTGGCCATTATTTTGGACTTGACTCTCCCCCCTTTCTCTCTGCTACTTCGTGTCTCTTCGTTGGTGGCTTCAGAATGGTGCGCTGGAGTGCTCGGTCCCGTCGGGCGGCGCGTCAGGACAAGGTTGAACTTCTGGCCAGCAACAATAGGGTCAGTGCCGGCGAGGATGATACATCCGATAACGGTAGGTTTAGCGGTACATTAAGCTGTCGAAACGATTGTCATTTACGATTGGTTTACGATTACGATTCTTAGCCGCGTTTCGGCACTCCACGGACCTCTCCGACCACGATGAGATCTTTCTGAAGGGCCTGCTGCTCAGCAATCCCAACACGCCCCACAAGGAGCTGATGGTAAGTGGACCAGAACACGAATCACATTTATTTCTGACCCAGTTACACCCGTTTTCCAGTGAGCATCTGTTCAATAAGAAAATTGCGCATACGTTTCTTCTTTTTCCACACACACATTTTTCCATACAATTTCCACACCCATACACAGGCCTCCGTACAGGGGCAATCTTTGTTTACTTTATCGATGGCAATGCATGCTGATTTTCGGTCTAGATATTATGTATGTATGTTCTCTGTGTGTATGCGTGTGGTGTGCTGTGCTGTGCTTTCTTTATTACATCATTTTCCTTAGGGGGTATATCCATGGCTGATAGCTTTACCAAATCATTTATCCCCAACGAAGTGAGCTCTTTATAACCCGCTAAAGGGTGAATGATATCCACCGTCGGGGCAACTCTGAGCTCTTCTATTTTATCTGCATATTCTATTTTTTGGCCCCACATTAACACCATCTTTGCTTTTCTTTTCACACTTATTTTCGCACTAAACTTGACCCCGTTGAGGCGGAAGATGAGTTTGAGCTACACAGAATGGGGTCTTTATTAGATCTTTATTGTGATATAATGGACTTGCCCAACAAATGTCATGCCTTCCAGTTTCGTAGTAAAATCTGCGTAAAAATGGTAGCTTAATCAAATATTAAATATTTGTGGATTGTTTATGCGGCAAACACGCGAATTGCCTGGGAAAAACAATAAAAGAAATGTTTTTCTAAGGCTAAAACCGAAATGGGAATGCCCTATAAAGGCGATGGATGCATGCAAGTTTTCCTATAGTTTCAGGACTATTGCGTGTCGAAAAATTTTTCTGTATATTGATAGAAGGATAAGTAGATATTCCCTTGAAAGATATTCAAAGATGTGGACCCAAGGTGTTCTCCCAAGAAATCTGTTTTTTCTGTATTGGGAATCCAATTTTTAAAATCTGGATAATTGATTATTTTTTTCCATAATCCTTCGCCCTAAGATTACCAAATGCTTAAATGCGGTTTTTAATGGTATATCTCATCTCCTTTAACCAAACCTATACTCGAATTCACCATAACCTTAAACCAGCTTTAGGAAAAGCCCAAACCACAAAAATAATCAAAAGCGACATCGCGTGACGCGGATAATTAGAATCCCACATTTTCCTAGGTGGAATAGTTTGTGGCTGTAGCTTTTGCTTTTGCGGTCTGTGGCTGTTGAGAAAGGCCAGTGAAAGTAATTAAAACCACAAGTCACGAGATAAGAAAATATGAAATGTCACTTACCCGAAAACCCAAACCAAATACTCCCCCTACCATCGCTGCTCTCTCAACACTCCTCGAGCACTCCCCTATTTTATGCAGATTACATAAAATACGGCACAAGTCGCGGAGTCAACTCTTTAATATCCAACGTCCCAAAGAAGCTTTGTATCTGTATTGGTTTGAAGGGAAAACCGGTTTGAAAACATATTTCAACGTAAATAACACATACCTGTGGTGGCTTTATGTTACCTGCTTCTTCCATACGGGGTACAACGATGCACAAAAAGCACAAACTTGTTGGCCTACTAATGCAGCTCGCTTGCTGAGAGAGATTCATAGATGGAGAGAGAGAGAGAGAGAGCGTAAAAGCTTAGTAAAATGTGAGAATCTGTGAGATCTTCAGATAACTACGAAAGAGCAGAGCAGAAGAGCTTTAAAGTCATTGAAAGATACCCAGAATGGTATATTTGAGATTGAATCATTTTAAAAACCACGAATGCAGAAAGTTTACAGAGAATTTCAGATCGTATCGCTACGCAGGTCTCTTCAGGGGTATATTGATTTAATGAAAATGTATAGCATAAAATATATTCGTATTAAGCACAAGAGCAATCAAATATAAACTATATCCAAAAGAAAAGAATAGCACATTGGAGTACTTATTACAATTTTGGCAGTCAGTGCATCTTCTCATTAAGAAGTTTTTTTGCATAGCCCCTGCCTGTTGCACCTCTGATTATAGTTATAATTAGTAAATATCTTAAAGTCGACCACATCGTTCGTTCTTACTCGTAAGTCACTGTTAAAGCTAACATTATACTAAAAACTGTTCTCAGAAAGATAGAAAGAGAGAGAGCTAGAGAGAAAGAGCGCTGCTCAAAGTCTCTGTTAAACAACAGTGTTAGTCTCTGCTAAGCGTACAGTTGTAACGTAAGCTAAGATAACATGAGCTTTACGCACACCATCAAACCGAAGCACACCGCAAGAGCGAGCTCTCATTCCCGTTCTCTTGGATACTTGGATACTAGCGAGCGCTAGCCCTAGCTCTGTGCCGTACAAATGAAACTCATGTGAGTCAGATACTTTTAAGCAGTACTAAGGTGAGGTTGGATCCACAAAACACGCGCGCGCTACGGTCCGTTGGGGTTCCGGTTCGGGCTGGTTCGATTCAGTGAGCATTTGCTGAGCTAGTGTGTGTGTGTGTGTGTGAGCGTGGCTTAAACGGGGCGGCATATGCAACAGTTAGTTCGCTCTCTCTCTCTCTCTCTGTGAACGCGTCTTGACTTCATTTCATTTAAAATTTGTGCGTTTTAACCAAGAAAAAGGTGTTAATTCATCCAAGTTCCATCAACAGATCAATAATAAACAGTCGTTTAGTCGACTAAAATAGAAAAGTAGAGCAAATCGGATTGCTTTTGTTGTGTCCAAATTACTGCCTTGGAAACGAGAGCTTTTCTGTTAGCCAAGTTTACTTGCACATTGATGACGTAGTCGCGCTGTGTATCCCCCCCGCGACAAGAATTGTGTAACCTGGCCAACAAACAGCAGTCTTAACTGTGTTTTGGCATTTCCAAAAAAAATAATATCCAACTCTCACACAGATACTCACACCTGAACACACACCAACACACACACACACAGTGCTCTCTCTCTCTCCGCGCTTTTGTGCTCTTCTTGGCTTTAAGCGCTCCCGCTCGCGCGTTTTGGGAGTGGCTCTACCTCTATCCGAAAAATAACCAAGAAAAAGTCAAGAAAAAAAGTGTAATTGAAAAACGAAAGGCGCTTCCAATCAACCATTAAACTCATGGAATAAATGTGTTTCAATTAATAATGTGATCCCGAGGGAAATTTCAATAAAAAAAATACCCATCTGTAGATCGAATTTCCCAAGCATTAGCCTTGTCCAAAAGAGACAGAGAGAGAGGCG